CTGGGCCGGGCTGGCGAGGGCGCGCTGCAGCCGGCCGCTAGGGGTCGCCACTGGAGCTGCGCCGCGGCGCCCCGGAGCGCCCCCGAACGTCAAAGGCGCCGTCCTCAGAGGGCACCTGCGTGATGCCTCCCTTTCACATCAGACGAGGCCGAGCCCTCCAAAACAGCGATGGGCACCGCCCAAGCCGCGCCTCTGCATTCCGACAGCAGGGACCACGTTCCGCTCTCATCCGCGAGGTCTAGGGACACTGCACAGTCCAGTCTGTGTCCGCTGAGGGTAACCGAGACCCCCCAGAATCAGCGCATCCCTGGCCACCCCGCACTTGGGCGTAGAATAGGAGGGGCCTGGGACGGACGGCCTAGGTGATTCGGTTTCCCTCTCTACACCCTCGCTTCCTGGTCTGCAGACCCGAGATGAAGGCAGGACTCCCCAGCGGGCCCAGGATGTAAATGAGTTAGAGCAGTCACGGCTTAGCTCGGCGTTTGCACAGGGAAGGCGCTCCAGTGGATACTGTATCAGCGCACATTTGAAAAGAAAGTCAGGCGATAAACAGTCAGGAGACTAGTTTCAAAACAGAAGTCATGCGGAACAAGAGGGACGGTACTTTCCCGCGTGCAGCACTCGGGGAGACTCACACAGCCTTGCAGGATCCTGCGAAACAGGGAGAGGAGGAAACGACCTCGGTTTATCTTTCCTCCAGCTGCTCCCACCCCCCTCCCTCTTCCCTTCCTCCCCGCCCCACTCTCGGTGTGACTCATAGCGGCTGCAGACTCGGGCGCCTCTTATCAGGGTAGAATGTGTTAGGCAAGGTGGTTTAGGCTATGTTTTTAGGTCCTAGTTTATCACAGGGGCCTTGGGAGGGACAGGCCCTAAGAAAGAAGGACCGGATTAAGTGGATAAAAGGCAGGGTGATGGCCTCAGGACCAGACAGGGGTAGGCTGCAGCCACAGATCGTCAAAGCTGAAGATCATCCCTGAGAACTCTCTCATGTTAACAAAACAGGAGTGAACAACTGTGAAGATGGTCTCGATGTCAGGTGAAATGGTACTAACCTTTAGTCTGAAGTTAGAGCCCTGGTGTTCTGAATCCCTGTGGGTCATTCCTCTACCGCCACGCACTCCTTTGGGTAGATGCCTCACATACTGCGAAGTTCAGCGTCACTAGCAGGGCAAGATGGAAGGAAAGGATAGTCAGGAGGGGATCTCTGGTTCTGTGCATGCTGCCACAGTGAGTAGAGAAATAGAAATTGGTCTGCGAGGAAGGTGGCATGTTTTGAATATGTTTTAGATGTGGCCGTGACATCCAGGTGCAGACCTCCCGGAGGGAACATGGGTGCCACGTGGGAGAGGGCAGCCTACAGGTGCCGCCTGGGGACAAGTCAGGGTAAAGGTGGTCACTGGAGCAGGGGCAGGATTGAGAGGGTCCAGAATGGCAGGAAGAACGAGGTCTACATAAATGCATGAGGTCGGAACCCTGATGGAGCCCAGCTTCATTAGAAGAGATTCAAATAAGAGATTCTAAAGAGGACATGGAAAAGTAGCAAGAAAACCAGAAAAATGGCATCCAGCTGTCCACATCAAGACATTCTCCAGGTCTAAGAAGGGGAAGGGGTGGTATGGAGCAAGTGAGCCCTGGAACATAGCCGCTGAATTTGGGGAAGTCATCGATGACCTGGGCCACACTGGTTTCGGTGGGATGTGAGAACCGAAATAAGTCATAGTGGGTTAGAAACAAACACACTGAAGAAAGAGGAAAAGCAGGGTTAGTGGGTACGAATCACTGCTTCGGGGGAGCTGGAGGGTCAGGGGAGGGAAAGGTATACCTGGAAGAGAAGGATGGATGGGTTTTGGCCATTGTTTTCTTTTTGTTTGTTTGTTTTTCTTCCTGTACCAGGAATCGAACTCACCACCTTGCGCTTGCCAGGCAGGTGCTTTCCCGCTGAGCTAAATCCCCAGCCCCGGCCATTGTTTTCTTTACACTGGGAAACCAGAACGTGCTTATAGAGAAGGAGAAGCCAAAGAGGTCAGCGGGGACGGGTCGTTTTGTCTCAGTACAGTCCCTAGCGCCACCACAGGGTCAATGAGAGGAATTTCAGCCCTAGATAATCCAAAGGAACATTCCTGTTCTTCGATTCTTTTTCTTCTACCATGTATAAGGAAGAAATGCATTTGGAAGGTGTAGGAATGCACTTGGAGAACTCTTTAAGACAACCTTTATCTGTGTCATGATCTAAGCATGGCAACAATCTTATCATAAAATGCATTAACTAGTCCTGTTTGCGTACAGAGTGGTAAACAATGCTATACAAATAATATGAAAATTGGTGCTATTACTACCATGTCAGTCAGGACCATGAGTAGCAAGTGACCAAACCAGATAAACCAACAGTAAGAAGCACTGGTTTGCTAAACTAGGGAAACTGGCTTTAGGCCTGGTTAAATTTCAGGTGCTTAAAAAGATATCAGGTATAATAATAATAATTTGAAATTATCGATCTGCTTTTCTCTTTTGCCTTTTAGAGCATAGGGAATTAGTCTACTCAAGGCATGTCTGGGAAGAGAGGGAGATACTTCCAAAAGGTAGGCAAAGAGAAACCAAAATAACACTTAGCTTCTGACATTCAAAACTATAATTTCGTAGCAGAGAAACAGCCGTGTAGTTCAAGCTGCTGTCTTGAGAAAATGCCCTGTGTTCATTGTCTTTGTCTTTGTAGGTCAGGGACTGAGCTTGGTTTTATGTGTGGAAGGTCTAGAGAGAAGACGGAGGGATTATGGGAGACCGGAAGCAGTGGAATGGAAAAGGACTGTGAGGAGAAACTGTGTTGGAGAAGTAACCCTTAACCACTAAGGCCGAGGAGAACCTTATTCCCTTCCCAGCCAAGAGGAAGAGTCTAAGTTTGGCCAGGTAGTTTGAGGTCCTGCTGTGGACTTCCGTGGCCTTGCTATGCTATTCCCCCAAGTAGCCTAGACTCTACCCAGACGTGCATCAAGTCTGTGGCCATGTAGCCAGAGGTGATTACTGCTAGGAGGTGGCAGTGGTGTGGACTTCTGAGTAGACCCCGGGACTGGGCTGGTAGTGCTAGCAAATGAGGCAGCGATCCACAGAGTTTTCCAGGTTCTTATTTGTGTCAGTTAGCGAATTGGTCAGGACAGCTGGTGGATGTGACAGAGTACTATTTATTTTAGGGAAAAATATGCAAAAGGAGAAGCACAGAAGAAGTGCTCAGGGAGGAAAGGGTGCTTAGAAGGAAAAAGAGAAGGTGGGTCCTGCAAGCAGAAGAGACCGCTGCAAGAATAAGAGGGCAGTGGCGACAGAGTCCCTGGCTGCCATACTTTTTGCCTTCTTTGATAGCTGATCTGGGTGGTTGCACTTGATCTCATGCTAGAAGATTTATATCGTGCACCAGGTTCGGCATGTTCTCGTATCAGAAGATTGGTGCTGAGTGCAGGGCTTGGCTCGGTCGCATGTTAGGCTCTGGTGCTGCGCTCTGCGCCCATGGTAAATAAGTCTCCTCAGCTGGTGGGTCGTGCCCAACCGCCGCAGCGCGTTACCATGCCCTGGCCTCCTACTGCAGTAGGAATCAGAAGCAGAAACAGGGCATCTGCAGACCCAGAAGGACAGAGAGGCGGCTAAGCCAGCTGGGGAGCGTCTCCGGGAGAACTGCGTGAGTCAGACTTTCACATCAGAGACTGGCTGTGTGTCTCGGACAGGCCAAACCTGGACATCACCCTGAGATCAGAACGCAGGGCAGCCACATCCAAGGACAGGTTCAAGGGCAGTTCAAAACAACACCACCACCAACAACAAAGACTTGTTATACTATATTGTTTAGGGAATGACAGGAAAAACATCTGTACTGGTTCATTTCAGTACAAATGAAATTTTTAAAAGTATTTTCAATAGGTGACTGATGAAATATGTGAGTACAGGGCCTTCACATTCAGAGCCAGCTCTACCTCCGTGACTGATATGAATTGGCACAGAAATACTTTTCTGTACATTGAGCAGTGTAGACAGCTAATTTTGAAAACCCTGTACAGAAATTTTCCTCCCTTAAACTTTATAACCATGTTGATTAAATTAATTTTAATAATTGGGAACCACAATCAGCTAAATACCTAGTATGACTTAAAGTTTAGTCCAATCCATAAATACTTCTACTGAGAAAATGTTCAGTTTCTCCCCTGTGGAAGCAAAGACAACTGTTTACTTTTTCTCTGTGTATTATTTCCCTTTTAAAAAATCACCCTCTGCCACATTCAAAGGGAGCTGGTAGTTATTTCCTTAAAAGAGAAGGCTTTAAAAAGAAAAGGCTTTGTAATGAATAGAAAGTTTAATTATTCTGAGCACACAGAGATAGTAAACAAGCACCATCTTTTCTTCAGATTTTATTTTCAATATCCTAAAACATTTCCATATTTTGAAGTAGCCTTGAGTAAAAGGAGATATTCATGATCCGGGGGAAAAATAATCAGTTTTATTCTAAAACTGATGCTGCGTCTTTTGGAAAGAGTATTGTTACCTATGGAATATTTTGAAGTTTACAATACATAAAACTTAAATCTCAGCACGCACGACTCTGGGGGGGAAAAGTCATTAGTCACAAGAAGAGGAAATAAACTAACTCATTAGGCCATGGCATCTGAGTCACTAAATTAATTCAGAAGGGGCTGGCTTCCTCCACATGTGGAATCCCAGGTATTCATTTATTCATCCAATTTGTGTCACGCCCTTGATAGCTTCTCCATCCGTGTGCCAGGCCGCGGATGTGCAGATGCAGAACACAGACTCACTTCTGGGAAGGAGGGGACGGCCGGCCTGCGGCTCCACGGTAAGGACGCGCTGAGTGCCCGCAGGTGGAAGTCAGGTTTTCCGCAGGCTCGGAGGCCAGCCAGGAGAGCAAGCTGCCTAGAGGCTTCCGTTTCCCACATTGCCCAGTGCAGTGCTGGGAGCGCACTTGTAGATGGTTCATTGTTGTGGCTAAGGCAGAGGACGTTTGGAAATCCTCCAGCAGCCCTGAGGCAGACGGGCACTATGACAGCCAAAAAACCGGAATTCCTGGTGTTCTCAGCGCCTCAGTATGTGTGCTCTGGCGCTGACTAATATGGCTGCAGGCATTGCACTCATCCATTCAACAGATACTTGTGTACCAGCCACGGGCCAAACACTGCTCAGGCAAAACAAGCACTTACTTCTGGAGATGGGGAGGGGGATGGATAGTATATCCACAGGGTGGTCAGTGCTATGGAGAAAAAGCAAGCGAAGAATGGGAGGACAGGGAATGGGGGGAGGGGTCGTGTGACATGAAAAGGTACTTACAAAATCCACAGTGAAGGTCCAGGTCCCCCAAGTACCTGAGAATCAGAACTGTGTCGAGTGGTGCATTGGAAGACCTATAAAGAAAATGGACAGTGGTCTGACCCCAGAGTCACTGGGAAATGGCCAGCTCAGGCCCAAACAGGGTAATGTGTGTCCTCCTCTGTCCTCAAAGAGTTTTCATATCTGGTGAGTGGCTCTGGTACAGCCAGTCTGAGACACTCAAGAGATCGTGCTGCAACGCCTATAATCCCAGCACTCAGGAGGCTGAGTCAGGAGGATCACCATGAGTTTGAGACCAGCCTGGGCTACATAAGCAAGTTCAAGGCCAGCCTGCACTACATAGCAAGATCCTGCTTCAAAAAAAAAAAAAAAGAAAGAGAGAGAGAGAGTGCTGAGTAGGAAGGAGGAGGACAGAGGCTAGGTCACTGGAATGGGCTGGGAGGGCTGGGCGCATGGAAGCAGAGGCACCACCCCCAGTGAGCACCAGGCTACCACTGGGGAGTGAGTAAAGAGAACTCAAGGTCAGGGGTAGACCTTTAGGCTGGAGCAGACGGTTGGTGTAGGGGGATGTAGGAGATTTGAAGACCCAGTCAAGGAATGAATGTTTTTCAGTTGTGTTCCAGATGTGCCTGTTCTGCTATTCGTATAACGACCATGTTTTGTTTTGTTGTTTTAACCACGAGTCAAGTAACACTAAAACAAATTACAGGTCCACTGGCAGGGCAGCTGGGAGTGGAAAAGAAGGCGAAATAGCAAGGAATCCCATTTTTCATGCCCAAAATATAATTCCCAAGCAGAAAGATACTTAATAAGGCCGTGGGCAGGGGAAAAGTGTGTACAGCACACAGTGACCAGCACTGCACGCCTTGCTGCATGAACAGCAGGGGCAGGACAACGTGTCACGTTGGATCAGAAAGAACGTGGGATGCGGACTTTGCTCTGAGTTTGGCTTTTGGCTCTGCCGTCTGTGGGCTGCGTGACTCTGAGTACATTACTGAGCCTTTGCGCCTTTGTTTCCTCAGCATAGAGAAGTGGTACAGTCCAGAGCCTGCACCAGGGTTCAGTCACATCTGCCGAGCTGGTGAGGAAACTCTGTGGGCCCTGGGGAACCTCCCTCTTCTGAGGAGCTGCAAGAAGCCAAGCACGGTGTGCTCAATAGGTGACAAAGCGTGTGTGACGGAGGAAGGATAGCTTTGAGGACACTCTGAGGACAGTGGTTGGAATCCATTTTACCCCATACCAGACCCATACCTGCTTTCTGGCCAGAGATGTCACTAAAGCCTAGAAGGGTTGTATGCTAGCACTCCGCAAGACACGGGGCTGCAGCGTCACTGTGGTGTGTGACAGGAGAGAAATCTGTCTTCTCCTCTGGTCATTCCACAGGGAGACTTTGCCCCCAACAAGGTAGCAAAGCAGAAAAAGGAACAGTGCCTGGCACCCAAACATGGATTTGCTGGTGATGCTGTACCCTGGGACTCCCCAAAAGTACAGGACGGAAGGCGCTTTCCTGGGAGCTCGATTCTGTGTGAAACGATGGTAACAAACTACAATTTAGATTATTAGAGTGGCTTTGTTTAGTCCACATCTGGTATACAATCAGGGTTCTCCAGAGAAACAGAACAATGGGAGCTACACAGATACACAAGAGGAGAGCTGTGGTGAGAACTGGCTGACACGTCTGTGGGGGGGAGGCAAGTCCCATTGGCACGCCGTCTGCAAGCCGGCCAGCCAGGGAAGCCGAGGTGGTACCTTAGTCTGTGTCCAAAGGCTGAAGGCCAGAGAACCAGGAACTGCTCTGATGCCCAAGAGCAGGAGAAGATGGACGTCCCATCTCAAGAAGAGAGAATTCACCCTACTTCTGCAATTTTGTTCTCTCTGGGTGAGCCCTCACGTTCACCCACACTGAGTGAGAGCAGATTCTTCTTACGTGGTCTATGATTTAAATGCTAATCTCCTCCAGAAAGACCCTCACAGACACACCCAGAACTAATATTCTACCAGCTACCTGGGTGTCTCTTAACCCTGTCCAGTTGATGCATAAAACTAACTATTCCTCTTGGTCAGGGAAACTTGGTTCATACCCACTGCATGGGATCCAGCAAGATCCACCCAAGCCTGAACCTGGACGTGACAAATGCACTGTACGTGTCAGATTCCCTCAGAAACCACTCAGGGAACCCATGCTACCCTTTGAAGTATGCTCAAAACAGCGGGCAGTGTTCTGAGGGGATCCATCAGCATTTCATGGCAAACATCTTCAGGTAAGCACATCTTTGAGCATTTACAATGTGCCAGTGAAATAAACCTGCAAGAAGGGACTGGAATTATCTCGGTCTTCCTCAGCACTCCACAGTTTACGAAATACTTGTAACATTTGTAATGTTCTAAAGTACGTAAAGCTATGTACTAGGATACTAGTTAGCCAGAAGTTATGCTGATTTCACAATTGGGGGGATGGCCCAGGAGTCGCGCTCAATTGTCTCTGGGTTCAGCCCTGTAACTTGGAGCATGACGTCACTCCCTCTTGACAGTTACGGAAATGGACTTTGAGAGAGCCAGCAAAGTAACTTGGCTAAGGTCATAAGCAGCAAAGCTGGGATTAAATCTCGGTCTGACTTTAGGATATTTTCTAGTATCCCACAACATACGGCCTGCAGAGTTCAAGTGGAAGTAGGAGATCAGTAACTGCAGTTTGAGAGTAAAATTCCTGACCCTACTTTTTCATTAATTCAAGTCTACAGACATTGTGATCTCCAAATAGCCAGCCTCAGGGGAGTCCTTACATCAAAGCACTCTGGGCTTATGGATCCCAACAATCAGAACCTGACTCCAAGGGAGATGCCACCAGAGGACAAAGGTGCCCCCGAGTGACTCTAAATGTTGGCTTCCGCGATTCAGTCAAAACCGTTTCCTGGGGCTGGGGATTTAGCTCAACGGCAAAGCGCCTGCCTGGCAAGCGCAAGGTCATGAGTTCGGTTCCCGGTACCGGAGAAAAACCAAAAAAAAAAAAAAAAAAAAAAAAACCGTTTCCTAATTTACACTGGACTGAGGACAAGGAAGAGGGCTGCAGTCAACCCGCCTGGCTCCTCCAGCTCTGTCTAACGCAAGTGCCACAATCTGACGCGTCCTAACTGCGCTTCTTTCTTTGGCAACTCCAGCTTTGACAAGAGAGCAAGAACATCTCCCTCTGACAGGAACAGGGTGTGAAGTGAAAGACTTCAGGGGCTGCACGGGCTCCTGACGGTTCACGAGAAAGCGCCTCCCACCTGTTCTGCACGTGCCTGTGCAGGTGAGTCACCTCACCGCCAGCCAGGCAAGTATTTTAAGAAACGAGGAGTCAAAGCCAGAACCCGTAGAGAAAGACGGGGGATGGAGTATTGCCATTAGCTTCCAGGGTGTCTTGTTGTCATGGTGCTAGGAAAATCACCTCCATTTGAGTCCCACTCAGCAGCTGTTTTGCTGGAATCTTTGCGTGAGAGGCTGGTGGCCACCCTAACACAGGCGTGGGACATGGTGTACACTCGCGTAGACCTGCAGCAGACACCCACTCCATGGGGCTCACACTGGTTGCCTGACATAGTTGAAACACTGTGCTCATGCGGATGACGGCTCTGTTCCCCCAGATCAGCTTGAAAACAGCCGGAGTGACCCTGCTGGTTACACGTACCATGGGACATCACCGGAAGCTTTGTAGCAGAGCCTGAACTGCAGGAACCCACCTCAGTCTCTGCTCCCTCGTCCCGCATGTGGCTCTGGAAAATGTTCCCATTGCCTATTTCTTAAATATTAGTTGAAGGGTCAGGTCTTACACCATCCTGAGGGGCGCGGTCAGCCAGGCCCTGGGTGTGAGGTGTTGGGAAAGGCAGATGGCTGGAGCTCACCTATCACCTCATGCTGGGGCAGGTGCATTCCACAGCCTGCTCTTGCTAGGAAGATGATTCTCCCCCCACCCCACCCCACCCCCCGCCCCACCTGACACCACCCCAGGCTTTCCAGGCATTAACACTGCAAAGTTCCTTGTATCTGACTGAAGGGGCGGGGGCGGGCATCCTCCGGGAAGGAAGGTGGTTCTGAACAAAAGCACATGGGTGACGGTGCTGGAGGCCCCACGCAGACCTCACATGGGGCTGGCTTCCTGACTCCCTTCCTCCCTCCTCTGCCCTTACCTGGAGACCACAGTGTCGGTGGGGGGGGGGGGGGGGCTGCCTTGCTTCCTGGCTTTTCCTGAATCCCCTTAAACTAAACTTTCATATGAACCTAAAAAGCCAGCAAACTCCTTAGCAGGACCTCATGCTTCCCTCCCCCCAAATTCTGGCTCAGGTTTGGCGCAGGCTTATTTTTATTAAGGGCCCAGGTGATTTGATTGCAGGTGGTCCTGGACCAACTTTGAAAAACTTCAGTGCCGAGACAAGTTGGCGGGTGTGTGGGAGACATCTGATAGCGGTGGTAATTCACCCAGTTTCTAAAAATAGTGCTATGAGCTCAGTTGTGCCTCCACCACATTCGCATATTGAAGCCCTAACTTCTAGTTCCTAGGTATGTGACTGTATTAGGAGATCAGAGCTTCAAAGGTGCAATTAAGCTAAAGTGAGGCCATTACGGTTGGCCGTAATGCGATATCACTGGTGTCATTAAAAGAAGAGTTGAGGGCCAGGGATATAGCTCAGCGGCATAAGCCCCTGCCTGGCAAGCACAAGGTCCTGAATTCGATTCCCAGTACCAAAAAAAAAAAAAAAAAGAAGAGTTGAAGCCAGGCATAGTGCTGCATGCCTGTAATCCCAGCACTCAAGAGGCTGAGTCAGGAGGGTCGCTGTGAGTTTGAGGCCAGCCTGAACTGCATAGTGAAATCAAGGCCAGCCTGAACTGCATAGTGAAACCCTGTCTCAAAAAAAAACAAACTGAATACAACACAGACACACGTAACGGGCATGTAACAGGGACCTAGAAACCAGGCCTGCACATACCCAGTGGGTTGCTAAAAGTAGGACAAAGCTTGGTATTTCTGCCTTCATCTGATACATGTCTTCCCTGTTACCTTAAAACTTTGGAACAGGTCCCTGATTAGTTCCGCACATAGACCTGTTAATCACTAAGAGAGTGCCTGTGTTTCACAGTTTATTATCCCTAAATTTGCCTAACTTCTCTCATCCCCCTCATGGTTGAAGATACCAAGATAAAAGGAATCAGAGTGATTTTCAGGATTTGCAGGGACATCTAATTACCAGATAGAATATCCAGTCCCAGACCTACCCTGGAGGGAATGTCTAGAAGTCTTAAGTCATTGCCCTAAACCTGCGACCACCTCGGATTTCAGGAAGAGCAGAACCCTGAAGACAAGTCCATGATGTCATCATCCCCCAAGTGGGAGCAGTTCCCCATGACACGAACTGAGACTACAGTACCCCCAAAGCAGGAGCCCTCATCTCACGATGGGAGCAGAATTGCCCCCTCAAGCCATGATGGCTCCCTAGAACCTTGAAGAACCGGTTCTGAGACACAGACCCACCAGGCCGGGACTTGACTAGCATTATCTGTGCTATGCACATCCCCAGCCCTTGCTTTTGTTCCCCTTTTCCATAATCCCCAAATTTCTATCAGCCCCACTTTCAAAGACAGATCTTGAATCTCTCTGTGCATCCCAGCGTGGCACGCTGATTAAAGCTCCTGCTCCATTCTCATCTCCTTGATGGGCATTACAGGAGACAGGCGGCAGCTGAGTCTGGTCTGTGGGGACTCCGGGAGATGGGGCTGTTATCCTAAAACTCCAACAGGAAGAAAAACAGAGGGAGAGGATGACCCTCTGCAAGCCAAGGAGAAGAGGCGTCAAAAGAAACCAACCCTGTTAACACTTGACCTTAGACTTCGAGCCTCCAGAACCTCAAGAAAGTTAATTTCTGTTGTTCACTCATGCAGGCTGTCATGTTTATTATGGCAGCCAGAGCAGACCAATACAAATTCAGAGCCTGGTCTCACTCCATAATCATCTCAGAAGGTAGGGATTCCCTCAATACAGTGTACATCAAGGCTGGTGTACAGAGCAGTGGATGAGAGCCCTGGACCCAGAGTCGCAGGGGTAACATGATCTACACAGAAAGTGTCAGAAGGCATCTGATGTCAGATGTCCCTGTGCTCAAAGACCGGTCTTCTCCCCTGATTTCAGACAGGAGGTATTATTTTATTTAACATGGATCTAATGTTTATGACGTGCGAAGTACTATTCTAGGCTTATACACGTTAACTCATTTAATCCTCACTACTGCCCCGTAACACATGTGCTGAAGGTTCATAATCCCATATTTAAACCCTTGGGTCCGCACTGTTTGGCAGATCAGAATGTCATACAATGCATGCTGTGGCGTCTGCAACAGTACCCTGTAATCAAACATGCTACTGTGTCTGAAAGTGTATATACTGCATAAAGACTGCGGGTAGCCTGCTGTTAAGAATTTTGCCACGCACAGTGATACATGCCTGTAATTCCAGCTACTCAGGAGGCTAAGTCGGGAGGCTCAAAAGTCCAAGGCCAACCTGGGCAATTTAGCAAGACTATTTCAAAATAAAAACTAAAGAGGGCTGGGACTGCAGCAGCTCAGTGGTAGAGTGTTTGCCTAACATGGGCAAGCCCCTTGGTTCAATCCCCAGTGCGGGAGGGAGGGCGGGGGCCAAGGGCCAAAGACAGGATTGTGGGTCATTTGTGCTTATTCTTATTTCAGGCCAGGTTTTGCTGTTGGATGAGTTATAAATTCAATTTTTGGAATTCAGAGCTTTTAAGATTTTGAAACTGTGGACCCCGAATTATCTCCATCTTAGAGATGAACAAGCAGAGGCCCAGAGAGTGTAAACCAACTGTCACATCTGAGAACTCACCAGAGGTGGGGCGGGCTCCCTACCCAGGTCACGCGGCCCTAGAGTTCATGTTGCTCGTGCCCACCTGGCTGGGCACCTCTGGGATGCCTCCTTGCTGAGCCTGACCTGTCAGTAGAAGGCAGGTCATGCCCTGCTGTGTGGATCAGATCCGCTGAAGGTTGACTTCTCTTATGGTTTGAATCGTGTCCTCCAAAATTCATATGTTGAAGCTCCTAACCTCAGCATTTCAAAATAAAAACCTTCTTCTGAAATAACACCACTGAAGATATAAATAGCAAAGACAAAGTCGTTAGAGTTGACCGTGATCCAAAACAGCTGGAGTCCTTATAACAGGGAGAGATTCACACACATCCCGCCCACGGGGAGAAGGCAGAGACTGATGCTTTTACAACTAAGGAAAGCCAAACGTTACTAACTAGCCCTGGAAGCTCGGGGAGAGGGGCAGGGGGCAGACCCTTCCCTCGGAGTCTTCAAAAGGAGGTGACCCTACCAACCCATCGATCATGGTCTTTCAGCCTCCAGGACTGTGGGACAATAAAGTTCTGTTATCCAAGCCATGCGGTATGTGGAACTTTGTTACAACTCTCCAAACTAATTCAAGATCCTTACCCAGCCTTGTATTCTCAGTGCAAGATCAGTAAAAGGTAACTAATCATACTCATTATGACTGAGGCCCCGAGTTTTAAATTTGTATGTCTGTATATTTTTATTTATTTGTTTCCTTTGTGATGCTGAGGATCAGACCCAGGGTCTTGTGCATGCTAGGCAAGTGCTCTACCACTGAGTTGCATCCCCAGCCGCTCACTGAAGAATGATTCTTCAATGAAGAATAAAGTCAATGAATCAGATTATCACTAAGCCTCTTCCAAGTTGGAGGTGTTATTTTCTACATTTTTAGCATAAGGATAATTCAACTCCACCTGTACCAATGGTCTGACTCTTACTGCATTCTTTGTTGCTGTGTTATGGATGGGTAAGTGGAAAGGTAATTTTTTTTTGTAAAGGCAATATTAAAAAGCAAAACAGCTTCTTTCCCTGTGCTGGGGCTCATAGCCTTGTACATTAAAACTAAACTGTGTGGGTCTTAACTTGTCACCCAGTGCCCCTGCTCATACTGTGAATTCACTGGGTGCAGGGCTTTTCTGAATCTCTTCTGCTTGTGTCCGCAGGATGCTGGCGTTAAACCCGCAGCATAAGTTAGGGCTACAAACATTGCAGAGGAAGGAGAAACCTGAGAAGGAGGTGGTTTTCTGTGAGTTCCAAGTGTGTCGCTGTGACCTGGGAAGTTTAGGCTCTTCATGTAGAAGTATGACCCCTTCCTGAGTGGTAAAAGCTGCTTTAAGAAAGTCCAAAACGCCATGGAATACTTTTCTGTCTGAAGAGCCAGGTAGGATTGGGCTCTTTCCAGGAAAGAGGTTAAACGCAAAAAGGTTTTCTCAGGCTGTAGTGACAGGAATCCCACTCGTCAAGCTGGTTTGGAGCTTTAAGCCTCTTCTTCTCTTAAAATGCGACCATATCAGTTCAGAAAATAACTCTCTGGGGGGTACAGCCCCAACTCCCCATCTGTGGCATCGGGACTTGAATGGCTGCATGTGTTCAGAGGGTGGCCCTTGGGCTTCCCTCCGGCGCTGGCTTGGGCCTGGCCACACAGTGTGTTCTCGAGTCCCCTCCCCAGCTCCCTGGCCACTCGCAGCCTTTCTCCCAGCGCCTTTCCGGGAAGCATTTCTGCACTACCCCACGGGGCCCTTCACAGCTCCGCGCAGCCCAGGCCTGTCTCACAGTCAGCATTCGCTTAAAGCGTTTTCATCTCTGCTCCCTCTTCCTGGTTATCCCACCCCAGTGGCTGAAGAAGCATGTCTTCTCCTATGTGGTCCATAGAGTTCTGTTGGGATACAAAAATGGTTGAAGTGAGGTGGGTATCAGTTTTGAGGATCTCATGTTGATGCTTCTATTCCTTGCCAGCATGGGAGATTTAATTAAAGTAGACAAAATGTCTAATAGATTGAGGCGCTTGGGAGTAGAGACAATATCTTGTTCCTTTTTGAGTTCTCTGTGCTTAGCTCCAAACCTGGCACAGAATAGATGCTCAATAAAATTACTTCTTAAATGAAGGAACTTTACTTTTCTTTTTCTACAGAGAAGTACTCTTCTGGTAAGTATTAAGTCCAAGCATCATGACCAGGCAAGGTTTGAAGATGGTTCTGCTTCCTAACCGCTGTCATGGGTCATGTCCAACAAAAACGTCCTACATCAGGAGGCAGAAGATACAAAGTCCCGGATTTGCTTGACGATCACCCAAAAGCCCAGAGTCTGCAACCTCTCCATGGCTCTGTGTCCTCCCTGCAGGTAGTAGTGTCTGCTCTGCCTGCCTTCCTGGATGGGCCTGAGAACATGACGAGAGAAACACTGAGGTGTCACTCAGTGGGAGGACACTGCCCTAGCTATACAAGTGGCCCTGAGTTCAACCCCTGCACTACAAAACATTTAAAAGTGACAAAAGAATAAATATGAAAGTTCCCTAAAAGTTTCAAAGACCACACTGAAGGTATTACTTTTATTATTGATTTTTTTTTTAGTACCAGGAATCGAACTCAGGACCTTGTGCTTGCCAGGCAAGCACTGTGCTATTATTGTTATTAATACTACAGACAATTGTAGAGCTGAGCTGCTCATAATTATTTTTTACTACGTTAATCTTTTTTCTTCAAGAACCAAAACCTAGCCAGGCGTGGTGGTGCACGCCTGTAATCCCAGCACTCGGGAGGCTGAGGCAGGAGGATCATTGTGAGTTCGAGACCAGCCTGGGCTACAAAGTGAGCTCAAGGCCGGCCTGAGCTGCATAGTGAGACCCTGTCTCAAAAAAAAAAGAACCAAAGCCGAGTTTACCTCCTATCCCTGCTGCAGAAATATCCTTCCTGGAGAGGCCACACGTGCCAAGTACTTGTCTCTTTGGACCTCCATCATCTGCTTGGTCAGCAAACATATTCTACATCACAGGTGCCAAGTAAAAAGCGAAGGCACAGAAGCCTGGCTGCAGAAGAGCTGCTTCCTCATGGAGTTTCTGTGCCTCGGTCATCCAGACTAGAAACACGACTGTGCTCTACAGCATCCTTGAGCAGCTACGGAGTCCTCAGCCCCAGAACAGGTGAAGAGGGCGAGATGACATTAGGGGCAGCAGCCAGAGGCCAGTGGAATGCAAGCGGTAGCCCAGGCCTCCTGAGTCCAGGCCCGACCTTCCTCCAGGCCTGTCCCCTCTCCCCAGAGGGGGTGGTAGGTGGTGCTTTGCTTCCCTGTGGATCCTGGTGCAGATGCTGTTGCTAAGGTAACCAGTGATGAGAAAACAGAAGCAGCCCTGGGGTCCTGCTGTTTCACTTGTATGTCCGCACAGTTTCCTGTCTCAGGCAGAGAGATGCAGTCGGGCTTATTGATCCGGGCCGAGCATGTGTGCGGGCCTGAGGAGAGATGCCTGACCTGCGCGGCAGCCCGTGCTCTCCAAGCACTCTCCCCGGGGCATGTTTCTGGATGAGAAGTTGAAACCGGGGCAGATGCTGAGGGATCGAAATGACTACTCAGTGCCAGCTGTCAGGATGTGGCCTGGCTGAATTCACCCACTGCCCAGACGCTAGCTGTATGGCCTCGGTTTGCTTGGAACATCTGTAAAACAAAAGGGCTGCAGGCATGAACTCAGCTCTGAGTTCTGTGGCTCTGACTTCCCTGCTTTCTCCTGAGATAGCCACTCCCTCCCAAGCTTTCAGAAAAGGACCCTTTTCAAGGAGCTGTTTAATTCCATGTGGTTGATTTTCTCTTGCTCCTGGGATTTGCTGGCTAATGAGCGCATCATCCCAGGGGCAGGAGAAAATCAACCACATGGAGCTATTCAAAATAGCTCCGCAAAGCCGCGGTGTAAAGGCCTCCCTACCCTCTTTCTTTTTCGGCAGTAACTTGGTGGGCCGGAGGCAGGATTTAGACTTTGAGGTCTGAGTCTTGATCCCCCTTCACTAGCTCAGGCTTCTCCCAGACCCTGCGGAGCCAAAGCTCTCTGACCAGCTCCCAGAACCCATCTACTTCCTCCAACCCACACCCCAAAGAAAATAAGACCCAAAGCCAGAGTCCCTGAATGCACCCTCTGCTCTCTGTCAGGACTAGCGCTGGTGGATCTGCTAAGGGATGTTAAGCGCACGAGGGCGCATTTAGTGAACCAATGTGGGTATCTGACAGAGGAGGACCAGATCGTGGGGAACAGCTGAATCCAGTGTAAGCTGCAGAAAGGAGGGGAGAGGGGTGAAAAACAGTGCCGCTTTCAACTGTGCCGCTTTACAGCATCATAAATAAACCTGATAACTTTTTCCTGCACTCCTGCCCTCCAGCGGCCCCTGTAAGCGAGCACATCCATATCTAAGGCTGGATTTCACTCAGGGACTCTGACTTTGGGTCTTATTTTCTTTGGAGTGTGGGTTGGAGGAAGTAGATGGGTTCTGGGAGCTGCTCAGATGGCTTTGGCCCCACAGGGTCTGGGAGACGCCTGAGCTAGTGAAGGGGGATCAAGACCCAGACTTCAAAGTCTGAATCTTGTCTCCTGCCCACTGAGTTCCCGCCAGAAGAGAAAGAGAGGAAGGAGGCCTTTACACCACGGCTTTCCACAGTGGACTGCTGGCAAATCAACCAGAAAAAGCCCGCAGGAAACAACTGGTCCAAAAGGCATTCACAAGGGTGCAGCCTCTCCTGGCAGGGTGGGAACACCCCATCACTGGAGGCCTGGTACGTTGGCACTCAGGAAATTGACCCTATTGGGAGTCCACTGAACCTCCGAGTCCCCACCTCCCTTTTCAGTGTGTGGTGCAAGAAATTGCTCAAAAGTTCAAACAGATTTGTGCTTCCAGAGTGTAGCTCCTGGTGCTTTGTGAATAACAAGTGAAGCCTATTTGGTTGCACGTTTTGAAGATAAAACCTGTGTGCTATTCATACCAAACACATAACAATTATGCCAAAAAGATATCCAACTAGTATGGCACATACACGGAGAGCATGCTTAAGAATCCAGTATGACATCCTGGTGTGATTGCACACGACTTTAATCCCAGCACTTGGGAGGCTGAGGCAAGAGGATCGCCATGAGTTCAAGGCCAGCCTGAACTGCTTGGCAAAAGAATCCACTATGATAAGATGGACTTGGGGCACACACCTGTAATCCCAGCACTCAGGAAGCTGAGGCAGGAAGATCACCATGAGTTGGAGGCTAGCTGGGGTACATAGTGAGTTTAAGACCAGATTGAACTACAAAGTGAGAGCCTGAATCAGAAAATAAAATAAAACCAGTACAATGAGAAACATTTTATTCTAAAAAAATGTTTTTGCTCTTCTTCCTAGTATTGGCAGTTCTGAATGTCAAAATTTTTCTCTCCATGGAGTCAAAATGTACCTAAGTAGATGATTGTCTAGCAGCAATCAAGTATTGGCAGTTTTTCCATTTTCATCTGTGTGTGAATTTTTAATACAAACAGGATGTGAAGCATTAATTCAAGTGAAAACGTGGTAGTGAACAAGTTTCAACAGTGCCGCTTTACAGCATTATAAATAAACCTGGTAACTTTTTCTAGACATGCCAGCACTTGGATTTTTAAAAAGAAGTAAATTTGCCAGGTGTGGTGGCTTTTAACCTGTAATCCCAGCACTCAGGAGACTGAGGCAAGAGGATTGTTGCAAGTTCAAGACCACCCTGGGCTACAAAGTGAGCTGAAGCCTAGCCTGAACTGCATAAGGAGACCCTGTCTCAAAAAAGACAAAAAAAAAAAAGTAAATTTCTGGGCCGGGGATATAGCTCAGCGGCACAATGCCTGCCTGGCAAGCTCGAGGTTGTGAGTTCGATTCCCAGTACTGAAAAAAAAAAAAGAAAGAAATTTCTTACTGATGGCCAAACAGAAGCCTGCTCCCTCTCCAGCTGACCACTTGCACTCACCCAGCACTCATTTCACAGCTCCCTCTGCCCAAAGCTACACCCAGCTGCTCTCTGCATGTGGCCTTTGCTTATGGCCTTTGCTTTTCTCCCTGTCGTTCTTTACTTTGCTACAGCGGTATTCAGGAGGGCACACTGGCTGGAAACAGAGGTCCATGCCTGCAATCCCAGCTACACAGGAGATTGAGGCTACAAGTTCAAGGTCAGGCTGGGCAACTTAGCAAGTCTCTGTCTGAAAATAAATTTTAAAAATAAAAGGGATTAGCCAGGCATGGTGGTGCATGCTTGCAATCCCAGCACTCAGGAGGCTGAGGCAGGAGGATCATTGCGAATTCGAGGCCAGCCTGGGCTACAAAGTGAGCTCAAGGTCAGAGCCTGAACTGCATAGCGAGACCTTGTCTCAAAAAGACAAAAAATAAAATAAAATAAAATAAAATAAAATAAAGGGGATGGTATGCAGCTCAGTGGTAAAGCTGTTGCCTGGCACATGAAGGCAGGGGCCTAGGCTTAGTCCCCAGTGTACAAGACACTGGGAGTATGTACACTGGCGGCAAGTTCAGAACACAGCTCTTATGGGCCAGGGTGAAGGCCAATGCAGCTGAGATTCCAGAGCAATGGGAGTCAGGCTCCCCGTCCACGGCGCTCCTGCTTCCACCGCTCGTCTCCTCTTCCCTCCGTTGCTCACTCGTTCTCTTACGTCGCGCTGGTTTCCTCCACGTTGCAGGTGAACTGCACACGCACAGCCACACTGCTCCCGAATTTAACATCTCCGTTAAAGGAGCGACGAGGCTATGCGCGTTAAAGGACAGTCTTTGTAAGGGTCAACGTGGCCATGCGTGGTCAGGAGCCACCACAGTGACAAAGAAGTGAAGACAAGGTCAAAGCAGGCGGCCCTGTGTAGGACACAAAAGAGACTTTCAGCCTATGGCTATAGCCTCTGAATCTGAATCAGAAGCTACGCAAGGTCGGGCCTGGAGGGTACTTGGATGGGGGAGAGGAGATTGTCAGAAAAGAGGAGCGAAGCCCTGAGCTGACAGTTCCGTGGCGACTTCACGAGGGCTCGCTCCAACTTCCAGGCCTGACCCAACCGTGGCCTTCTCCAAAGGCCTGCCACCTCCGCGTGGGCTGGGGACAACGCCCGCCCTCCCCGCCTCCCCGAGTCCCGTCTGTGCCTCCCCGTGCACTTGGCCCCTGTCCCTCAGGTACTGGCCTTTTCAGTAACTTTTGTTCTGTAAATGCGAATATGTGCTCATTAAAGGAAAATTTAGAAACATGGCTAAACAAAAGGAAAACAAATTACTCAGAGGTCTCTTGGCTAGAAGTAATCACGCAGCATTTGGGGACGGGAGCGACATTCAGATCTGCGTCTTTGTTCTCCGCCTGCATCCAGCTCTCAAAAGGCCGCATCTGAAGCTGGCCTCCTCTCTGTGCACCCTGAAAGCCAGCCCGTGCCTGCCTTGCCACAGGGGCTCCATCACGTACCTTTAACAGGAAGAGGTGTAAACAAAGGGATGAGTTAACAAGTCAGAGAAAAAAATTCTCAAAGGTGTCCCAGAGGAAGCACCAAGAGAAGGAAAGAAAGGCATGCGGTTGCAGAGGGCGTGTGCAGCCCGCCCTCCCTGCCCTTCCCAGCCTGCTCGGCCCAGGGCAGGGTCCGTGCCAGGAAGCGAGTGGCACCCGGCGGCAAGCACGCAGGACCTAGTCAGTGGGCGTTAGTGGGAATGTCGAAACTGCAGCCCCATCCCACTGGGTGACTTGGAAATGCCAGCTACGGCTTAGAGCAGAGATGGCGCATGGAAACCACAAAGTCAGGGTCACCGCATGCATGCAACGTTTTAGGCTCAGCGGGCAGTCTGGCCAATTCAAAGCCTCGCGTGGATGGGTTCCGGGAAATCTGATTTTAGCAGTCCCGCGGACACAGGAGTGTGTCCCCATGACTTGCCCCTCACTGGGTTGAAGATTACCATTGATTTATCTGGAACAGAAACAGCAGGACTCCACATCACATCTTGGAAGGAAGCCTGGGCAAAGGCAGAGAATTAGCAGATCTTTATTATTAATTCCAACACCATAACTCCCCGTGGGTCTGTGCAGTAAATCACAGGCTCTCTTAATGGGAATTTCTCCATGGTTAAGTGGAGCTAATGTTTTTATATGGGGCAAGTCCTCATTCTCAATTATAAAGGCAGCCTCAAGAATCACAAGTATTCATTAATCATACCCAAGTCCAGAATACTGTATATGCTGCAGAGGACGTAGAAGAAGTAGGACAATCCCTGCATTTCACGTATTTCGGCACCATACATTTACTGAAGCCCTTCTACATCTCAAATGCTATGCTACACGCCGGACTTTATAACATATTACAGTTACCATTCCCTTGTAAAAGTGGAAATGTGAAGCTCAGGAGGTTAAGGACTTGCTCCACTTGCCCACGGTCTCTTACACAGTTTGTAAGATTTACAGAATTAGAAAAAGGGAAACAATCTAACAGTTTATTACCATTTTAGTGCCATTAGAAATCCCCAAACCTGGCTTGGTGGTGCATACCTGTAATATCGGCACTCTGAGGCAGGAGGATCATAAATTCGGAGTTCAGCCTGGGCAGCTTAGCAACCTATCAAGACCTTGTCTCAAAGTGAAAAATTAAAAGGCTGCAGATACCGCTCAGTGTAAAGGTCCTCAGTACAATCTCGAGCGCTGGAAAAAATAACAACAACAGCAAACCCAGCCAATATTTGCAAGAACCTCTGTCTCTTTAACCAGAATTAGGCACACCTTATGCCAGGGGAGGAGGAAAGATGTTTGTACCATTTAATCTGTGTCTCTAGCTACTCCCCCAAAGCCTCGTGCAGTCATAGGTGGGGCTTTTTCAGAGGAACCCTGAATCTAGAGTGTGTGACTGATTCATGGTGCAAATGATTCAGGGTGCTTGGATTAAGGAGGGGTGATTACTACATGAGTCCCCTGATGGGTTTGGCACCTCCCGAGTCCCAGCAGCCTAGACAGAGTATAAAAGGGGCAGGAGAAAGCTGGTAAGGCTCCTTGCTTGCTTTGCTGCCTTCTGCACACCATGAACTATTTCTCCTCTGCAATTCCCCGCTGCCAAGCCATCCCGCCTTGGAGCCAGCCAACTACAGACTGAAACCTCTACACACTGAGCTTAAATAAACCTTTCCTCCTTTAACTGTGGGTGTCTGGCATTTTGTCTCAGCAACAAGAAAAGTCACTAAGGTGCTGTACCAGCAGTGACCCTCCCGGAAGAGCCTGACGTGTGAAAAGCCAAGTTTCCACTGGTTGTTGCCCTAGACTTTTCACAGTGGCCTGTGGATGCCTGTCCTTTAGGAGGCAAGGCACTGGTACAGGGGCTGATCATAGGCTCACAAGCATCAGAGGTGAGCAGGAGAGAGCAAGTTTTGGTCCCCTGGCAGGGCTTTGCTTCAGACCGTAGTGTTTTTCCTTCTCAACCTGCGAGCAGCCTCTGCTGCTGAAGGAAGGGAACTTCAACTCTGGAGTCTTGCAAGCAGGATTTAAACCCCGGCTCAGCCTCTTGGATGCTGCATGAGGCAGAACACAATTCTCAGCCTGAGACTTCATTTTCTCCCGCACCAAATGGAGGCACTCCCTACCCTGCAGAGAGGCTTAATGGAGGCAGCGCCTACCCTGCGGAGAGGCTCAATTAGGTAGAGTACGCACGACGTCTGCTGCGTAGTAGACGCTCAATCAATAGTAGCCATGATTTTGGTCCAAACTAAATTTCCCCCAAGAAATGGAGCCATGATTTTTTTCAGCCACGTACTAGCAAGGATTTATTAAAGTCCTATTTTTTAAGCAAGAAGATTGATGAAGGTTGTGAGACAGCCTCCCATTCTCTCTAGGGGTGAGGGATCTAGACAGGGAGTAAATAAACCCATGGCAATGGACAACCCTCCAACGACTGGAGTCTCTGAGATACAGGAAGCGAGAGATAAAATTCTCCTGGGTGCCTGTCGCTTTGGAGATAAAGGCAGTGAGTGTAGGCAGACGATCGCCCGAGGTGGTCCCTGGCTCACACTCCTAGGGTTGCATTCCAGGGAGCCCCTCCCAGGCCTGTTTTCCACTCCCTGTTCCTTACCTCTTTGTCCCTAGAGTTTGCTTTCCCACTTGCTCAGGCAGGTATTTTCCTTCCAGAGAGCCTGCAAAGGGCCCAGAGCATCCTCAGGTTATCTTTCCCAGGGCCTGGCTGGCTGCTTGCTGGGTTCTGACCTCACCTCTGGCGACAGTCTTATCAGGTGCGGACAGAAGTGGCTCCCCTGCTCTGCGAGCTCCTGGCCCAGGCTTGTCCCCTCATCCAGCCCCTTGCTCTATGGCCAGACACTTCTGGGACTTGATGCAGTGGTCATTTGCCAAATCAGGAGTGACCACAGGAGTCTGCAGCTCAGCAGCGAGGCCCAGATCCGGGGAAGAAGGGTGAGGCTTGTGTCAGTGCTGACAGAGAGCAGAGCACAGCCTGAGCTCTGCCAGGCAGGAGACAGGGAGAGGGATGAGGTCGGGGGTGGGGACAGCAGCTCTGCCCAGCCCCTCCTCATGGGGACACGAGCAAAGGGCGGCGGGCTGTGATGGGGCCTTAGCCTCCCTTGAAGTTATTTCCTTCCGGGGAGCATGGAGATCCAGCTGAGCCCAGTCCTTTGCGAAATGGGTCTTGGATGACTGAATTAGAAGAGAACTCACAGGAAACGAGGGAGGCAGACCTGGCCCCTTCTGTCCTTGGCACCTGGGCACGCGACCAGCTGCTCTGTGTCAGCCCACGGTCCGTGATTTGAAAGGACGTTGCATTTACATCGCAGCACCAGTTTGTTTAGGTTTGTCCGCTTGGGTCTCTGTGGGGTTAATGGCCTGGGGTGTGGTGGGGTGAGTGAGCATTTAATTAGAATTCATTCCAGGGTGGCCCCTTTGTCCTGCTGGGTCAGCTCCAGTCCCTTGTTTGTTTGCACTGGGACTCTTGCTTTTATTGGACTTGGTAGCCTCTGTCAGTAAATGATGACTTCTTTAAATGATCTCCAGCATCACAGTTCCCAAAAGTTTCACACCTCAGTGTTTTCACAGTGCAGGGCCTGCAAGGCACGAGGGGTCGGAGCCCGCCTCACCATGGAGACTGGCAGCCAAGGAGCACTAAGTGGTCAGGTCTTTTCCTGGGATGGAAGGACAGACGTGTGGCTGCCCAAATGCGCTAGTCCCCCGTGAGCCCCAGCTAGGAATCAAGCCTTCAGAAATACATATATGTAGTAGCCTGCCTGTAATTCTTGCCCTCTGAGAGGATGGAATCACAAGTGTGAACCAGCCTGGGCAACTTAGCTACGAGTGAGAACACATTTCACAATAAAAAATATAAGAAGGGCTGAGGATGAAGTTCCATGCAAAGGGCCTGGGTTCAGTGCCCAGTACTGCAGAAAGAAGGAAAGAGAGCAGAGCGGCTGACAGGTGTGCAAAATGATGGACTACAAGGGTGTTCCTTGCCGCACAAGACTGGGAACAATCTAAATGCCCACCAGTAGAGGCCTGATTGGATAATCTATGGTTTCTGCATTCAGTGGCACGCATCAACCTCTCACACGGTGATGGGGGAAAACGCATGGCTACCTAGGCTCAGAACTGTACACCATCCTTTGTGTAAAAAAAAAAAGATGCGGAGGTGCATGTGGGAAAGGGAGGATACAATGTATTTATGTACTTTCTTCTGCACAATCTATATAGGGTGGACTCACAAACTGGCCGTGTTGTAATGTTTTTACTTCTCCAGGATGAAGTGCGGCTGGCCTGGTGCCGGGGATGTTAGCGGGTTGTACCCAGACCCACCTAGGCTGAGTAGCTCGCAGCCAGCGCTGTTGGCCCCAGGTACATTGCTGTGGGTGGCTGAGATGGCTGGGACGGCTCTGGCTTCTCTCCGTCCTCTCCCGGATCTCTGTCTTTCTCTTACGGCAGTGTCGGGGCCTCCAGGGACCAAATAGCAAGCCCAGGGCACCCACTTTAAACCTTCACCTGCCTGTTTGCTAAATTCACCTTGGTCAACCAAGTCACTCAACCAAGTCCCAAACTCAAGTTAGAGAAATGGACTCCATTTTTTTCCTGTGCTGAGAATCAAACCCAGGGCTTTGTACGTGCCAGGCAAGCGCTCTACCCCTTAAACACCCCTGGCCCACTGAGCTGCATCGCCAGCCCTAGACTCTGTTCCTTAATGAGAGAAGCTACAAAATATTGTGGCCATTTATTTTAATCTACCTCATGAGAGGGCACAGGTAGGGAGGCGAGAGCAACATTTCTCTTTTAAATTTGAGTCATGTCAACATTACCTACAGCAATAACTAAAATTTTACAAATTAAAATAGATTCCCTGAGATTAGCTTCAAAATAATTTATTTGGTCCCAGCTATGGTGGCACAGGCCTGTAATACTAGCACTTGGGAGGCTGAGGCAAGAAGGTTGCTGTGAGTTCGAGGCCAGCCTGAACTCTACAGCAAGCCCCTGTCTTAAAACAAAACAAAACAACAAAATAATTTGGTTGTTGAAGAAATTGTGTGGGGACAGGTGGATACTATGTAGGCCAAACAAGACTGGCCACGAGTTGGTTACTGCTGCAGCTGGAAGACAAGCACACAGGGGCTCATCATACATGTCTGTTTTCTCGATGGTCAAATTTCCTGTAACAGAAAGAAATTCAAGTAATAAAAGAAAAGCAACCAATAGCAGACACACTTATTGTGGCTTCCTTTTCTGGTGAATATACCCTATGCCTGTTTTCATAGCTGAGTCTCCACATTGTTTAAATTGTTTAAATGGTTTGATCACTAATTGGAGACTTAGTATAAAAGAGTTACTGTTAAATGTTTAGTGTGATAATGGTATTGCTTTGTTTCATCCTCATATTGAAATGTATGTGTTCTGAAAAGTGAATAAAGCCTGTGTGTACAGCTGAAGAACTTTTAAAAACATCTATATAAGCTGAACAAGATTGGCTGTGATAGCCAGGTGTGGTGGCACATGCCTATAATCCCAGCACTCAGAAGGCTGAGGCAGGAGGCTCCCTGCAAGTTTGAGACCAGCCTGGGCTACAAAGTGAGCTCAAAGCCAGCCTGAATTGCATAGTGAGACCCTGTCTCAAAAAGACAAAAAAAAAAAAAAAAAAAAAATGGAGAACTGTTGCCTTTTGTGGGTTTGTGGAGGAGTTGTTTTGAGATAGTCGCTTATGCAGTCCAGGCTGGC